AGTCAGATTTCTATACTTCTATTTCAAAAGAGATAATACAAGTAGAAAAAAATCCGTAAGAATATGAACTACACAATAGTGACAAGCTTGACCTAATTGCTTTTTAATCAAGTACATATAGGCTGTTTTCAACATTAGATCATTTTCTGGGTTACTAAATGTATAAATTAAGTAATTTCTGCACCAAAACCAAATTGAGAATGCCTATTTTAGTAAAGTACTGCACTGCCTTATATTTGTATAAGTTAAGCATCTTATCCTGTTCTACTGTTTTATATATAAAGTGTATTTGTTGGTGCTAAATCTTATAATTTCATCTTTAAAGAAAAAGCTATTGAAAAAATAATTAATTAGCTGGTGAAACCTTGTGTCTTCCATTATGGGAAATCAATTGGAACATCTCTTTGAATTAGTCATATTTTCATTATATTCATTACTAGTGTTTTGAAAGATGCTGGGTATCCAAAAGGGAAAACATTGCTGGCTATGTGTTTTACTAATATTTATTATCATACTTTTACTTCTATGTCCTTCTCAATACTGCATATTATAAATTTTGGTAGCATAATCAACAAGATGAAATTGTTCTTTGAGCAATTGTCAGTCATCTTTTTTATATTAGCTACAGAATGAATGAGGAGTCAAAATCTAGTTACATTTCAAATTTTAATATGCATATTATTGGCAAATAATTTCCACAAAGGCTATATAAATGTACACTTTCACTAATAATATGTGAATATGCCAATTTCTCCTTGATGTATATAATACTACTTTTAGTCTTTTAAGTTCTAACCAAGATGAAAGATAAAAACTAAATACTGCACAGTTACTGGAATCCTTGCTTCTCTAAGTAATTTGCATGACTGTTATTGACATTTATAAATATGTTTTTCACCTCTTGAATTCTCCTTTGAACTCAGCTAGGAACGTAACATTCTCAAAGGCTTTGAGTCATTGGTAACTTTGCCCACACTAGGTTGTGTTAGTCTTGGATTAAACTTCACACTTTTATATGAAGTAATAAGAGATGCCCTAGAACATCTCTAATATTCCAGACACACTCTGTCCTGGCAGTGTAGCAGCAGCCCTATTTTTCTTAAAAAGTAAGATCAGTGTCTCTGGTTAGTGTAATTAGCTCACTTGCGGTTAAACAAAGAAGATCAAAGTGGTCAAGGGCAACCTCAATCCCATTTGTGTGTTCCTGGTGGAAGCAACACTCCTTTGAATGATAATAATTTTATACTACAAAGCTCAAACATACATAAGTCATCAGAGATCATAATAGAAGAAGTTATTTTTAGTTCCCCCACTTTGATTCACAGACTTGTATAATTTTATTAGAGAATGAACACAATACATTGGTTGATGTCTGGGAGTATACACTACTTTGGAACAACATGTGGAGCTCCTTCAGTTATCATTGCACAACGAGAGATTTAACGGAACCTTAAGTGCAGCCATTTCATTGCTCTCCCAAGCAATGTCTGTCTGAATAATAGGACATAGAGGGAGACAACTTGCCCAGCATTACTGACTGAAAAAAAGTCAGGATTTTTCTCACTGATTTGTGAGATTACTTCTAGGAATAATCAAACTCCAAATGTTCAGAGAAAAATTTCCGTGCCCTCTTCTTTTTCTGTGCTATTTATCTCTTCTTGCACCAGGAGCATCACTTTTCCTTTTTCAAAATCATGTTACTCTTGCACAGAAATTTAGAAATACAAATTTTATGTTGACTTTATAATTTATGCATGGATAACAATGGAATTATATGGAATTTATAGATTAGTTTGGATGAAATTGACAAATATATCATTTAGTTATTCTAAAATTAGAGGAGGTAAACCAATTGGGGTTATAATACATGGAAATATCTCAAGGAAACTCCCTGTGTAGCTACCTTTATCTCAAACAAGCAAAAAAAAATTTTCTTTTTCTCTTTTCTCTTTTTTTCTTCTTCAAAATGAGAGAACAGGAGGGTGGTACAGGTCAAGCCCAGTGGGAGTGGGGAGGTGTCTGGGAAAGGGTGTAGGAGGATGAATATGGTGCAAAAAATGTGTACACATGTAAGTAAATGCAAAAATGATACCTGTTGAAACCATTCCAGGAATCAGGAGAGTGGGGATATAGGAGAGTGGTGGAGGGGGTGAATTCAAGTATATATTTGATACATGGTAAGAACCTTCGTAAATGTCACAATGTACCCCATCCAGCACAACAATAAAGGAGAAAACAAACCAAAAAGACCAAAAAATATTCACAGCAAGTAATTTAATAATAAAGGTCAATCAGATTTGAAATATTTGTTAAATATTTACATTTTTTATGAATATTACAATTCTAATTAGAATTTCTGAGGGCAGGGGCCTGGGAAAATAATTGTATAATTTGAGTCCATTTTGATATTTTTAGTGTTATAAAAATATTCTTTCATTTAAGTCTTCATAATGGTGACAAGAAGATGAAAAGAGCTCAGCTTGAAACAAGTCTAGAACTTACACATAGTTATAGTAAACAATACTGCTTGGAACACATTTTAAATAGAGTTCTATGCACTTATGATTATGTTTGTGATTCATACAAACGCTAAAATTCAGAGCTACTATATAAGTGCGTCAGTGTCCTGAATTAAAAGGCAGTTAAACTTGCAGGACACTGATCTGCTGCATTAGAGTCTTAATTGTGGTGGGTTTTCCATCAGAATCCCAACAGCTAACCTTAATGTCCAATGCATACATGTACTCACTATACTCATGGCTTCTACTCCCCAGCCTCCTTAACTTACGGGGCTACCTTTGAGTAAATGATGATATAATTTTTCTAAAAGTAACTTGATTTCTAATTAACCCCAAGATGTTGCCAGGGCAGTAGAACTAGCCTCCAGAGTCTAGTGATCTCAGCACATGCTTCTAATAACTACAGCTTATATTAGTCACCAGAACCTCTAAGGATATTAACACCTGCAGAAACTGAGTCCTGATAGAAGAGAATAGCTCTGTTGATATGAATTAGAGTTTCTGTCTTAAGGCAGAGTCCCTCTTTTTGGCTATTTCCTCTGTGACTTAGATTCTGCTTGCCAAGAAATCCCCATATACCAAACAACCATTTCTCTATGAATTGGAAGAAGGAGGGCAATGCAGGTACTTGCTGAGCAGAGGAAACATTGATTTAGTTTGGGAATTTGTAGTCTGGACTTGAATGATGGGCAGTGCTTGAGAACACACTTCCTTTGGGCCACAAGGGAAGTTATTAATGACAGTTTTGGTAAGTAGAAAGGATGAAAACGAGAATCAGGAGTTGCTTTTCATTCCAGGTAAAACAGTGATGTGGAATGTTCCATATAGCTCTTAGAATTTTTCTAAATTGTAATACTGTGTCATTCTTGCTCACAGCTAGAGTGTGTTCCTTTCTTTTCATTTCCTTTTTCTTCCTCATATTCCCTTACTTTTTTGTTTTTGTTTTTTTTTTTGATTGATTGTTTGACGCATGGACTAAGTGAAACAGACATTTCACTTCTTTCTCTTTTCTCACTTCTCTACTTTTTTCCTGTTGTATCCTCTGTATGTAGGTCTTTAGTTATTTCAATGATCTGATAACTTAAATTCCATTGTAATCGGAGAATTGTGAGAATTTCAAAATTTTCATTTGTATCTAAGAAGACAAAATTTCCACGGAGTTACTACCTGAATCTAAGCATAATTTTTCTTAGATAATTAAGTTATGCTTTCCCAAAGAAAAATATTAGAATTTTTCAAAAGTTTTGCATGTAAAAACTCTGTAGATTGTCTCCTTTTGGAGAACACTCAGCACAATTGCCTTGAGTACTGAATTTCTGTTAAAATCCAGATTATATAAAACCTCAGTGGAGCATCTGAGGGATTAAAAATATAACACATATATGTATCATCTTCAAAGATCATATGTCTAGTTCCATGCAATGGGCTCTAAAATATTATAAGAGCACCTTTGAGACCATCTGACTAGAGAATCTTTGGCTTTTAGAATTAGAAAGACTCTTAGGGGTCAGAGTCCAACAGTTACTCTAGGAAAGACTGTTTGCAAAATATTTTTCAGAGTCTCTGCTTCATTATATCTAAATCTTAACAGTTTGTTTGAGTTATTGCTTACCCTACTCCCTTCAATTTTAGCATAAGGGGATTGGATATGCAAATTAAGTATTTCTCCCAAAGTCACACAATTACCTAACCCTCTAGATGTTTTCACTCAAAATTGAGGGATTTTAGACTTTATAACCTGACTGAAGAGAATTTTTATTTTTCTGCTCATATCTTTTTATCATAGTACCCATGTTGAAATTCTATGGTCATCTTGAACAGATAGGGGCAGATAAACTGTAGATCTGGGTCTTCACACATCATGTAAAGGGGAAAGATATTAATCACAGTATTCATTTAGGCTCTGAGGTTATATTTATAGCATAAAAAATCCGTATGACTGTAATTACCTGACTGTATGAGTTTGAATTTTGGTATTAATAGATAGAGGTTCTCTTTCAGAACCAGAATTCTAGTTTCTGTCCTCTCTTTTTTTGTGTCAGATTGAATGGAAGGAACAGTGGCAGTTAGAACTGGATTAATTTTTCCCTTTCTTTTTCATTTCATGCTTGGTAAAGTGGAGTATACATGTTTATGTCTGAATAATATTCACTGTTTCATTCTACATGTTCATCAGATTCTGATAACTGAAGTTAATATTTTTTTCAGTTTTGGAGAGCTAGTTTACTTGGGCTTATATTGAGCAATAAAAACCAATCCATATGAAATATAAAAGGGAGAAATGTTAGGCAGTTTCCTAACATTTGGCTAGAAAGATAACCTGTCCTTGACAACAGAGAAAACCTCTAGACTGGTGTCAGTTTCTCTATCATATATTTAGTATCAATTCTTCTCTTAGCAGACAATTTTAAGAGGAAATGAAGGAATTCTACCAAATATCTAGAAATGCTTGCCACCTGCAAACTTTGTGCTGAATTTCCTCTGTATTTCTGATTTTCATCCTGGATTATGGCATTTACCTCTGTCCCTGACTCACCTATATAGAAGTGTTCTCTATGGAGTGGGTCAATGAGACTGTGGTGAGTGAATTTGTCTTCCTCGGCTTTTCATCTCTGGCTGGGCTGCAGCTGCTGCTCTTTGTTGTCTTCCTGCTCCTCTACTTGTTCACTCTGGGCACCAATGCCATCATCATTTCCACCATCATTCTGGATAGAGCCCTTCATACTCCCATGTACTTCTTCCTATCTGTCCTCTCCTGCTCTGAGACTTGCTACACCTTTGTCATTGTACCCAAGATGCTGGTTGACCTGTTGGCCCAGAGGAAGACCATTTCCTTCCTGGGCTGTGGCATTCAGATGTTTACTTTCCTCCTCCTTGGCTGCTCCCACTCCTTCCTGTTGGCAGCCATGGGTTATGATCGCTTTGTGGCCATCTGTAACCCACTGCATTACACAATACTCATGAGACATGGGGTGTGTGTGAGACTAGTGGCTTCTGCCTGTGTCTGTGGCTTCACTGTCTCCCTCATCACCACCTCACTGGTGTTTCACCTGCCCTTCCACTCCTCCAATCATCTCCATCACTTCTTCTGTGACATCTCCCCTGTCCTCAAACTGGCATCTCACCATTCCCGCCTTAGTCAGTTGGTGATATTCACGCTTGGTGTGGTTGTCTTAGTTATTCCACTATTACTTATCCTGGTTTCCTACATCCGCATCATCTCTGCCATTCTTAAAATCCCATCCTCTGTTGGAAGATACAAGGCCTTCTCCACCTGTGCCTCCCATCTCATTGTGGTAACTGTTCACTATGGTTGTGCCTCTTTTATCTACTTAAGGCCAAAGACCAATTACTCTTCAAGTCAAGACACCTTAATATCTGTGTCTTATACAATCCTCACCCCATTGTTCAATCCAATGATTTATAGTCTGAGAAACAAGGAATTTAAATCAGCTCTTCGAAGAACAATGGGCCAGACTTTATATTCTGTTAATTAGAAACAAGTTTCAACTATTCATGACTACCATGTGCCAGGATTTAATCACCTAATTGCACTGTAACATATAAAATTTTATATATGAGGAGAATGAAGTTCAATGAAGTTGAGACATTTTGACATTCTTCTATTAGTGGTACTCTAACAAGATTAAGAATTTGCAGAAAGGGATTACTCGGTTCCAAACCAATTTAATTACATTTTACTGTACTAATTATTAATCATATAAATACTAGTAAGAGAGCAAAGATGCATTCAAAGTTGATTTGAGCAAATGAGAAGAGCAAAATTGTACCCAAGTGTCTAGTTCCAAAGGACCAAAACAGAAAACCTATACCTATTCCTTTTCAGAGATAACCAGCAATCTTGGCCTTATGAATTCAGCAACAAACATTATTGGTGCTTTTTGGGTGCTGATTCATTTCCTCAACATACATATCAGCATGTCTTTACCTTTACTTTGGATTTTTTTTATCCTTCTTTTGATACTGAGATTCTTTATGAAATTCCCCTCCAAATACATACTTTGTATGATTGTCTTAGACCTAACTTTCATCCCCTAACATTTATTTATTCTCTTCAAAGGTGCTACTAACTTGCAGAAATTAATAAATATCTCAAATAGTTCCAAGCAAAAGGATTGAGTTAATATTATAAAGAGAGACCTGGGTTTCCAGAAAGGGCAAATATCCACAGAAATACACTCTAATGACTTCCCTGGCCATATAAAAGGAAATCAAGTGACCTTTGTTATCATGAATGTATCATGTAGTCTCTACCTACCTCTCCAACATTATTCTTTCTAAAGTTATTATGATCCATTTCCCATATGTGCTTATTTGTGCAATTTCACAAATTGCACAAATTTGTGAAAATTTGTGAAATACCAACTATTTGCTGGTCTTTGAATGGACATAGTTCTGTACTATCATGTGTTGCTTCTTCTCTGTGGAATAGTTCCTCTTTATTTACTGTGTATATACAGTCTTAGATTTCAGGACAATCTCAGCTATTATTTTCCTTAAACCCTCCTTGTGCCTGCTGTACCCTTCTGATGGGATTATACTGTGATTTTTTTCTATGTTCTCATAATGCCAGGGATTTATTTTATTGTATCTTTTATCATTTAAATAAATTTTAATAAATTTGTACTCTCTCTTCAATATGTGCCAGATACTATTGTACCTACTGGAAGTTATTATGAACAAAATATATGTGAACCTTGCCCTCATTAACCTTATTTTCGGTGAAATGATTTAAGTAAAAAGATAAACTCAGGGAAAAATACTTCACAACCAGTTTAAATCTAGTTTTTGAAAGAAGAGTGGGGCCAGTAAGGGGAAGATAAATTTGTTTCAATTGAATGATATGGGACTGGTCTATCAGTGGAATTCACATTTAACCTACAGTCTGAAGGGTAAATTGGAGTCACCAGGTAATAGGGATTATTTGGGGAGTTTCTGTTAGACAAGAGAAACATACATAAGCTTCAAAACAAGATAGGTTTGGATCATTTGGATAAGTAAAGGAGGCCAATATAATCTGTGTAAAATGTTTTAATTAACAAATAAAAAGTATATATATTTATATTTGCTATATATAATAATGCTTTGCTATAAGAATATACCATATAATGACCAAATCAATATAATTAATATATATTAATTCTCATACTTATTTTTATGTGATGAAATCTAAAATCTACTCTTAGCAACTTTTAAGGATGCAATACTTAAAAGTATACTTACCATGATGTACAACTATCTCTTAACTTACTTCTTCCACCTAACTGAAATTTTATTTCTTGGACCAACATCTACTCATCCCACTCCGACTTCTCTTCCTACCAACAGTTCTTTGGTAACCATCATTATACTCCCTTTTTACATTGGTGCTTTTTAAAATGTCATCTATATGTGAGATCATATGGTATTTGTCTTTCTGTAGTTGGCTTATTTCACTTAACCCAGTATCTTCTAGGTTCATCTTCATGTTGTCATAAATTATGGCATTTCCTTCTTTTTTTAAGGCTGAATGGTATTGTATTGTATGTTTATACCATATTTTCTTTATCTACTTACCCACTGATGAGTACTTAGTTTGTTTCCATGTCTTAGTTATTGTGAGCAGTGCTACAATGAATATGACCATATAGATACCTGTTCAATTACTGATTTCATATCCTTTGCATATATAGAGCAGTGGGAATACTGAATAATATGATAGTTCTATTTTTTAACGTTTTCAGGAATCAACATACTTCTTCCCATAGTGACTGTACTAATTTATTGTCCTATCAATGATTCCCATTTCTCTATGTCCTCACTATATCCGTCCACTCTGCATTACTACAATGAAATACTTAAGGTAGACAAACTTTACAAAGAAAAGAGGTTTATTTAGTTCAGTGTTATGGAAGTTCAAGGGCATGACACTGCCATGAGCTCAGTTCTGGAGACAGAATTTTTGGCTGTGTCACATCATGGTGGAGGTTCATTTGAGAGGAAGGGATCACATTTCCAAACAGGAAGTCAGAGAAAGTAGGGTCCCAAACTTCCTTCTGAGGGCATTCCTTCAATTGACCTAAGGTTCAGTTCTTAAAGGTTCCATAGTACCTCCTAATACCACCGTCCTGAGCAAGCTCAGGATGAACCTTTGGGGGATGCTCAAACCATGTATAACCATTGCACTTTTTACTACTTACCATATTTGTCTTTTTGATGATAACCTTCTAATGAATGTGAGGTGATATCCCCTTATGGTTTTAATTTGCATTTCCCTGATGATTAGTAATATCAAATATTGTCATATAATTTTTAGCCTTTTCTATGTCTTATATTGAGAAATGTGTATTCAGATCCTTTGTCCATTTTAATATGGTAATTTATTGTTTTAACTACTGAGCTGTTTTTTAGTTCCTCACATATTTTAACTATTGATGCCTTATCAGATGTGTGTTTAGGAGATATACCTTCCCATTCCTTGAGTTGTCTCTGCATTCTGACAATTGTCTCTCTTGCTGAGCAGCAGATTTTGTCGCTTGACGTAAGCTTGTTTGTTTATTTTTGCTTTTGTTACTTGTAGTTTAGTGGCATAGCTGCTTTTCCTTATCTATGTCTGTAGTGTATTTGAATTTCCTGATGTCATGGATTTACATACTAAACATGATTTTGTCATTCACTTCCTTGAATTGGTACAATCCTCACATCTGTCAATGACAAGGTTTTCACAGTGAAGGAGCACTCTAGGGAAGTGTTCTTTCTTAAGAGATGGTTGAAGATAGCCCCTACAAGATCCAGAGCAGTCAGGTGTGGGGCTCTTTGGAGTAGCTGCAGGTGAGGTCATCTAATGCTCACCTAAGTTTGTCTTGCCTGCAGCAATGTTTTCCTGCACTGGTGGAGGCTGTGTCTGGAACAAGGCCTCTTGAAGCAGGAGTCATGTCTTCAACGGCAGTAGTTATAGTAACTCCTGAAGCTAGAGTGCAGTTGTCTCTAGATAGTTCCCTGTTCAAGGCTTCCAGGCATAAGGGATGTGTCTGTTAAACAGCCAGCTTTCAACTGCTTCATTTATTCACAGAAATACAGCACAGAGTGCTTTCAGTGAAGACCTATCAGTAACATATATTCTTTTTTTTTTAATAAATGGTGAGTGTTTAGTGAGATAGAAAAGTATAAAGTGGGAGAGTAGAACTGCCAAGTTGGGGGGGTCCCAAGAGAGGGTGCCCCTATATTCTTAACATTAAGAGTGCTTTGTTCTTATAATGCTTTCTAACCTATCTGTCTATTACTTTCATGTCCAGTTTTGTAGAAGATTAACCCTATCCACTCAGCAGTGAAGATACATACATGAAAGTATACTTCTTTTTTAAATCTTCACACTATACATTAAATCACCAATTGAATCCTATTTATTCTACAGGCTGAAAGTTCATAAACCACACCCCTTTCCCATTTCCACAGTAGAATATTGTCTCCTTTGCATTACTGAAAGAATGTCAAGCTGACTGTTTCCTGTCCATTATTCTTCACAGCACTGTTAGGGAAGTCTTACAATTGATGTGAAGATTAAGTTATACATTAAAAACTTAGAAAAATGCCTTGCATGAATTTTAGTAATTATTAATATTATCATCACCTTTCTAAAATGATAATACCATCAGGTAATGTCAGGTTACCTGATTACCAGATTATAAACATTTCAATAGCTCCTAAAAGATTTAAAGGTCAATTTTAACTCCTTAAGTTGAAATTCCTACCCAATGTACTTAATGTTCCGAATGATAGTAAATTTTTTCATGTCTCCTAATTGTCACATACATTTTTCTGAAATTTATCCCTTATTATTTGTCTATACATTATTCAGATTTCAAATCCTCACTTGATTATAACTTCCTCTAAGAAGTTGTTGACACTTAGCTAATTTATAATTATTTTTCCATATGTTCTTAGTGACATATATATCTCACTCGCCTAACCCCTGACATGGCATCATGTAGTCAGTGTTTTCTTCCCTCCTTCATTGAGGTTAAATTTGTTAAGGTAGGAACTGGCAAACATTTGAGTTTGTATCATATAAATATAACATAGATCAGGTTAGAAATTAGGAACTAAATATTTGCTTTGGAATAAGAAAATACATAAATGATGTTTCCAGTTCCTGCAACTGAGTACTCCCATATGACACTAAAACTCCCAGATTTGGTCTTTGATTTTATCACTGTAGTTTGACAGTTATCACTGTCCATTGCTCTGCCATTTCTCTAAATCTACTCTTTCCCTTGAAATTCAGCCTGGGATTCAGGAGTAGTAGGCAAGGACATTCCTTTAACTGAAGGGTGAAAAGCAAGAAGTACAAGAAGGTAACCATGAAAGAGGTTTCCCAGTCTTTTCTTCTGACAATGTCTGGTCATCTCACTAGGGAATGAATCACCTCACTAGCAAGTTTAAAATAGGAAAACAACTGATTCCCAGAGTCTACCCCATGGTTTATTATTTGGCAAGAGACTTGAGGTCCATTTCCCCTTAGGATCATAG